GTTGGGTGTTAAACAACAAATATTGAATATTTTTTAGAGCCGCCCCCGATCGCAAGACCTTTATTTTCAAGACGTCCCCACCTTCATCTAGAAAATTTAGGACTCCCCCCAACCCAACATTTAATTCGTTACATGTTTTGGTGTAAAATAGGTAATGGGACAAGTACTGGTGTAAGACATTGTATAGCCTAAATAATTAGTGGACCAGTATTCAAAATGGTTGTTTTTTATTTAGACTCCTATGGTGAACTGCATATACATATGGAAACTACGATTATAGGAACTAAAAAGGTGAAATATTTTGTGGGATACGATAAAGGCGAGAGATTGAAAATGAGTAGGAAAGTATTAAAAAATTGGAGTTGACCCTTGTCACATATTTTTCAATTTGAGGCTGCCTCCAATTCAGGCAAAAAAAGTTGTATCGACATATACTTATTATATGCTATTTTGAACGCATGCAGGGTTGGGCAAAATCAACGAGTAAAAACGTTGCAAAAGCATACTTAGATATACAAATAACAGCAAATCATTATGCGATTTATTATGCGAATAACTAATGATATAGTAATGCATGGTTACACGCATATGCCATATATAACAAACGCTTGCTGAGTGTTTACTCGAGCTAGAAGTAAAGATTAGTGTTTTTGTGAAGCTTTTAGAAGTGAAGAGTTTGTATTTGTAAAACATCGTCAATTCAGCGTATTCACATCGATATTTACTTCATATATACATTTTACATCTTACTCGTTTAAAGTGCATTATAAATAATTTACGAATTAATTATAAGTTAATAAGCGAACTACCTTGTGGGTAGTGACCATATAGTAAGTATGGTTTAGGTAAGCGCCCCTTCTCCCGCCCGCACTAAACGCCTGCTACGTATACGCTGGCTATACTGTAATCCTTACAGCTATACTTCATTCAGCCAGGCTCAATTCGGTACAGTGGCCTATTTATTTATCACTCTTTAGCATGTGGGTAAAAATAACAAATTGTTTTGCCTTGCGCTTGGTTCTCGCCGGCGCGAAGAATTTCGATGTTTCGAGAAGGGGAACGCCTTTCATTCTTCATGCACAACCTCGGTACATATATATATATAGCCGATTAAAACGCATCAACGGGAACCTTAATATTTGTTCGCTGTAATACTGTATTGTAGACATTGGAATTAGGATTGTGTCTTTGAAAGAGATTGTCCATACATGTTTAGATGAAATAAACTTTGAGTGAGTACATATCATAATAGCCTCACAACATGCAAGCATGCAAGGAGAATTGAGGCCTATAGTAAACGCGCCAGTTCTACATTTCAAACAGTTTGATCTGAACTAAGGTTGTTCATTTCATATAAGAATGAAACATTATGACTTACGTTCTAGTCGTTCCTAGTTCTGGAGTCGTGAGAACCGCTCTTGTTGTCTTCTTGGGAGTACTGACGAAATATGAAAGAAAAGCATAACTTAACTGTTTTCCATGTGACATCAATAAGTCGGCGAATTCCATAATCTCATTGATTGTTAGTGATTACTCATTATTAAAACTAAAAGCCTTTGTGCATCTGAAATAATTTTCTCAGTCAATGATTATACCAACAATGAACTGGTGCCAGATCGGCGTCATATGTGAACCAGGCTTGGAGAGGTAGATAATAGATCCATAGTTGGCTGCATTTTAGGTATGAACACAAACAAAGAACAAGAATAGGAATATCTGTGTCTGACGCCGAAGGCAGTATAAAGAGAAAAAAGTTTCTTCGATCGTCAGTGTTGGTAGTTGAGTAAGTAGAACTATTTTAAAACTCTCACGAGTATTAAAGGGTTCAAACCCCAAACTTAACAGTTTCCATGCCGGCATGGTCCATTTCCCACAAGGTATGGCGTGGTTAATTAACTATGACTTCATTGTTAATTAAAGAAGATTCGTTGATAGTGTCCGCTGCATGGTGCCTGGTCGGCGTCATATGTGAATCAGGCTGTGAGAGTCATATATTAATAGATCCATAGTTGGCTGCATTTTAGGTATGAACACAAACAAAGAACAAGAACATACAGGAATATCTGTGTCTGGCAATATAAAGCCTTTAATGAATTTCAAGACAACTTATACTTAAACTAAAAAATAAAAAGTTCCTTCGTCAGGAGAGTTGGTAGTTGAGTAAGTAGAACTATTAACTCTTCTGAGGAAGGGTTCAAACCCCCAAACAGTTTCTATTACGGCATGGTCCATTTCTCACAAGGTATGGATGGCCTGGTTAACTATGGGTTCATTGTTAAAGAAGATTCATTTCAATTGATAGTGCGCGTTTGGAGAGAATTACCAAAAGCTTGCCATCAAACTATTATTATGTACATTATTCATTATTTATATTAAAAAAAGGTCGTCAGATTTAGATTAGAGTCAAACCAAGATTAGATTAGGGTTAGAGGTTAGAGTGGGGGTTGGGTGGGGGTTAGGGTTCAAATTAAGATTAAGATAATGTCTTAAAAAAAAGTTCGTCAGATTTAGATTAGGATTAGATTAGGGTCAGACCAAGATTAGATTAGGGTTAGAGTGGGGGATGGGTGGGTGTTAGGGTTCAAATTAAAGCGATGTCTTAATTTGAACGCTTTTTACAATTAAGACATAGCCTTAATTTTGGGAAGAGATCATGCTGCCTTTCACATAAGTCCATAGTGAGAATCAAACCCACGATCTCAGAGGTAAAAGGCGCTTGCTTTGACGACTACGCCAGTACGCCACCAAAGTCCCCTTAGTATGTACCCTTTGAAATTATTGGAACTTTGGGAGCAGGTGCAAGCACTGTGCGGAGAACTGAAAGTAAAACTGAACGAAATTCACCGTATGCATGGGCAAAAATAACTAATTCTTTCGCCTTGCGCTTGTTTCTCGCCAGCATGAATAATTTCGATGTTTCGAGAAGGGGAATGCCTTTCATGCACAATCTCGGTACATATACCAATTAAATCGCACCAACGGCAACCATATTTGTTCGCTGTAATACTGTATTGTAGAGTTTTATGCAACCTTCATAAGCGTAATTAAGGCGCTGATGGTTTCCGGGGGGGGGGGATGTCTGGTATGCGAGAAGTCATTGGAATTAGGATTGTGTTTTTGAAAGAGTTTATGTACATGTTTAGATGAAATATATTAGAAAATTGATCTTGAAGAGAACTGTGGCGCAGCACTGACAAACCGATTACGTTTGGTGACCCAACTAGCATAAAAGATATATATCAAATTCGGTAGGTATTTATCCCATGCACATGCAGTCATTATAACTGTATATATACAGCTATTTCAATTAAGGTCGTCTACTTTGCTCGGGGACAACCTTAATTGAAATAGTTGTATAGTGTGTTGCGTTTCAGGTATTGAAGGAGCAAACAACCAGAAAACAATTAGTGATGTTATATGTAAACAACGAGTTTGAGTGTTTCATCAGGGGATCCAAACACGAGAAAACTGTATGAAACACGAGCGCGAAGCGCGAGTGTTTTATTGTTTTCGAGTGTTTGGTCCCCTGATGAAACACGAGAAACGAGTTGTTTACACAACATCTCGAACGAAAACATTTCATTGGCTGTTCAATTTATTAAGCGCTAATGGGGGACCTATAAGACCTTATTCATAAATCGTGACGAGGCCTCGTATCCTAGGATACGGGAACAAAACCATAGAAGATATAATAGACCAGAAGCCTCACTGTACACCTTTCCTTAACATTTTCGTGTCCGCGATTTTCGCCTTGCGGATCACGAATTTCGCACGCTAGATGACGTGTGTGACACTTGCTGCGAACATCACGTCAGCCTTCGTCAGCAAAACGGTTAAAACAGCAATCTTTATTACCTGGTAATGGCAATTGATGGCGTAATTGCTCGCGTTTGATGGCGTGGATTACACTTGCTGGCTCGCGCCTGCGCATAAAAAATCTCGGACATAATTTTGGCTGAGTGAGGCTTCTGGTCTTATTTTCTATTCTGTGACAAAACGCGGGAAAACAAGCGAAAACTGCTTGACAAGCCAAATTCAGATGCTATTGTGTCGACTTTAACCGCTTGTTTCTTGTTGCTTTTTGCCATTTATAACGATTTTTGTGTGTATTTTAAGACTTTGTGCCCACAACGAAAGCGGTAAACGAGTATATTATAAAATCGACCGGTTTTTCTCCCGTTTTTGTGTGGAAAAAATGACAAGTAGCGATGGTGTTTATCCAGAAGCGAAAAACAGTATTTTAGGCCATATAAAATAAATTCCTTGATTCTCATCGCTAAATTTTAAAAACTCCCAGGAGGCGGGAGGTTTATATTTTATATTTTATGTCAAAATATAAAAAAAAGTTTAAAATTTAAAAAATTGGAGAGGGAGGTCTTTTTATATTTGCCCTTAAATATATTATAGAAGAACGCTGTATAAGTGGATAATTGCCTATGATAATTGCACATGCGCTAATGAACATGCATAAGGGTCCACACAAATCGTTGTAATAAGGCTATAAGCCCATTTTTTCCTTCAGTATTCCAAGCATCCCTTAACATGTTGCAATATTAACGATAAAACAATTTTATATCGCAAAAATTCCAATATAAAATATAAAAACAACGAAATCTCTTGAGATGCTTGGTCGGGCGGTAAATTTATATTTTATAACAAAATACAAAAATATATCAACGCGGAAACCAAAATATCTTCGGGCGGTGATGAGAATCAAGGAATTTATTTGATATGGCCTTACTGAGATTTTAACGTCAATATAAAGGTTTATTCTGTGAAGAATCAAGACAACTATGGAATGGAAGTATAATTTTTCGAATTTGACATAAATATGAAAGAAAATAACAGTCAAAAATCACAAGAGAACGTCAAATGTTATTGATTCGTACGGAAAAATATGAACTATGGCTGTGGCTCGATAACAATCTGCAAGCAGCTTACAAGTTTAAAAAATGAAGGCTACATTACCTGAGTGAGTTGTAATCTTATTTCTTCAACAATTGTTTCATATTTCTTACGATTTTGGTGTTGTATAGACGTTTTGTAGCCTTGTTGGTTGTTTGTTTCGGCCATACAAACTACGACAATAATACAAAGTCAAAGGTTTCCTTTTTCGATTGACTCCAGCATCTTTTGCTTTAAATATCATGTTATATTTTTTCAGAAGTATTTTTTCAACTTTCAAGATCAGTTTTATAAATATATTTTTCGAAAAAAGCCGTAATATTCACGAAAAAAAGCTGCCATAGCCGACAGCAAAAAAACATTTTGTCAATTTTCCCGCGTTTTTCCCCGTTTCCTAGGATACGAGGCCTCGATCACGATTTATGAATAAGGTCTATAATAGAGCAAGATATATTTATATCTTAAAATTAATTATTGCTACTCAAGTTTCACGCCTTATTCAAGACGATCATTCTTAGTCTCGTCATTGGACGATTATTCTTAGTCTGATCGTCTTGAATAAGGCGTGAAACTTGAGTAGCAATTAATAATTAATTTTAAGATGTATATATATATATATATATATATATATATATATATATATATATATATATATATATATATATATATATATATATATATATATATATATATATATATATATATATATATATATATATATATATATATATATATTATACCTCACAATGAGCTTGTCCAATCAGAGAACTAAATTTGTACCACATGACCATGGTATTTTCACCGAATACTATGACCTAGGCAATTTGAACCCTGGGTGTTTTACCCGGGGCCATGGTATTCGACTTCGAATACCACGCTTGAGCGGGAAATTCGACTTTTTTAAATGTAAAGTTATCAAAAGTTGTGTTTTGAAATTAAAAGTTAATTGAATGGTATTTGTTTTCTACTTATTTTTGAAAGGTTCGGTATAATATACCATTTATAGACCTTTCATTCGGGGTATTCCACAAAAAATTACCCTGCGGGATGAAATATTCCTCGGGAATACCCCTCGTTATATATATATATATAGATAGATATATAGGAAATTAGTCAATTCGAATTGAGAGAAG